ATGCTTTGACAGAGAGAGAAACAGGTATTTTCTATTTATTTTTCCCTGGTTTTGTTTACCTAAACCTATGCATGTGTTACCAAGTGTTAAAGTTCATAAACTTGGTGCTTTTTTTCTCATGTGTTTAATTTGAAAATAAGCTCAAAGTGAACAGGCCTTGGGCCTGTATTTTAAAACTGCTTGTCAAATGTGCAATGTTGAAAACGAGGAAAAAAAAAAAAACACAAACAAAAAACTGAGATGTACGTTGCAAAAATCAGATACATCATCAAGAAAAAAAAGGTAAAGACAGCAATATAGTTCTATCAACGTCTATAAAGCCTCCCTTGTTTAAGATCCCACTGCAATTCAGGAGCAAGGTCTCTGCAGGGGGAGTCCTGAGACAAGCAGCCAGCTGCCATGCAGGCTGCGCAGGAAAGGACCAGAAGTATCAGGTGTGGATGTCAGCTATCTGTGTAGATGAACAGAATATCTTCATCAGTGCCGTAACTTGTCCTGGCTTCCTCAAAGTTACTGATGCTGGTGCAGCATGTTCCTGTTAAGGAGGAACAAAATATTACTAAAAAATTGGAATTTCCCTGTGAAGGGCTCTTATACTGGGTCTAGCAGCCTCTACAAAGAAAAGTAACTAGTATACAGGCTAGACCTATCAGCTTAGGTTACAGCTTTTACTCAGGTAGCTCTTTTCACCTTAAAGGCAGTGCTCGCTGAAGTAATGCTCTAAATAGGTACTAAACTGGCCGTCCTGTTACATTCTGGACAACAGTTCAGCATCTCTCACTAACCCATCTGAAGGCCAAACAAGTTTGCTAGGATGCATATCTCAATGCCTCAAGCAAATCACAGCACAAAATGCAGCGCTGATTTAATTAATGTGACAAAACCCCTTCTGACAAATTGGTTAGTGATGCTTGAAATGTATGTATGCTGTTAGGGGAAGCCCAGCTGTGGCTCTGTGTTACAGACATGTTAGTAATGCGTTGGCTGAGAATCCACCCACAAGGAACAAGGCTACTCACGGTCAGCATAGGCAGGGTTGTTGTAGTAAATACTCCCTGAGGCTTTGTTGTAGCCACATAACACAATGAAATGGCCCTGGTAGTCAGGATTCCTGCAGAAGCACTTCTGTCCAATGGGGAGGAAGCAGCAGTATTTGACAGGACTTGAGCAAAGATCACACAATAGCAGGACTGCATTCACTAGGACGATGGCTACGTGACCTTGCGACAGGTGGCTTTGGATGTCTTGAACAGTTACTGTGCTGCAGAAAATCAGACATGCTTATTAACATGTTGAGGAAAGAGACTGGTATACAATGAGGTGTGTGATAATGGACAGTACTGATGACATGCAGCTGGCATGGTTATTTTTATATCACAGGTGCAGCTTCTTGCTGTTAAACTCTGCAAGCTTTGCTACAGACAAAGCCTGACAAAACCTGTGTCATTCAAAGGCCTTTTGGTCACATCGCTGCTACTGAAGTGCAGTGCAACAGCTCAGGATTCTGCAGTAATATAAATGTAATCTCGGAATGTATCAGATACCCCAGAGAAGAGCATTAAAGGAGCTGGCAACTCACTCGGTAACTTGAGAGACTTCTGATGTGGGAAAATCGTATGTGAAGTGTTCTCTCCTGCTCTTAGAAAAGCTTATCTCTGAAGCACCAAATCTTCATCGACTGAGTGGTTAAAGATTGTATAATCATTAACCAAATTAAGACATGCCCAAATTTAGCTCTGTCACACAGGAATACATTTCTCCCAGTTGCAATTTTGGACTACCTGATGCTCTTGAGGCTTTATTTCTATAGTGCCTCCTACAGAGAATGAGTATTAACCAAACATAACCTACAATCTCAGCTGTCCTTCACTAAGGCAGATGGTGTATTCCATATGCATTAGAAACTCATCCCTTGGATACATTCCAGATGTCCGGGCTGCATGCACTGCCTAACTGAACTCATGTGCTTTTTAATCTTTTCCAGTGTCGCTCCTGCTCTACGATGCCCCAGCCTCAGTACTGCACAGGTAGATATGCCCTCTGCCCTGCCTCGATCAAGGCCACGATCTTAAGATTGCTAAAGCAAGAGGGAGTGGCTGTCCCTTCTGTCCTATGTCAGCTCTAGGTAAACAGATGGTGCCATACAGACTCCATGCATGTTAAAAAGGACACTTAATGATTCTGCTAAATGAAAGTTGCATTGCAGCATTCAACTACCGTTGGGGCTGCCCTGTACCTTCTCTTCTTACTCCTAATCATTTATTCCACTTCAACAACAGAAATCCAAATCCAGCTTCACCACAAAAAGGGATGCAACTCAAGCTGAACGTGGATACTTAGTTATTTCCCATGTTAGAATATCATTGTCGGTTGTGAAACAGTTCTGCAGTTTTTCCTCTTCTCCTGGTTTTGCAGTTCTTTCACAGAGGTTCCTTATTTCATCCTCCCCGTGGCAAAAGCTCATATGCTAGCTTTTTGCATGTCTGTCTAGGAACAGAGAGCTGTAATGTTTGCACAGCTCTGGGAACAATGGGTTGTGTGCCCATGTGGCACTCTCCTTAATTCCAGCAACAGCCAATTAGAGTGCTGTGGGCACTCCCTACTTGGTAATTTTAATGGATAATCAAAGTCAAAACACAATAGTCAACTCCCGTCAGCATTTTCAAATCACTTATTCTGTGTTGTGACTATTTTTCCTCAAACTTCATTATTAACTCTTGATACCCACTTTTTTTTTTTTTTGAGGCAGATGTATTGGAAAGACTGTAATTCACAAAAAAGGCTCAGGGCTTGATTTCAGTCTCTTTCACCAGATTAACTTGGTGACTCCAAGAAAAGCATGGGGCCCACAAAATCTCCAAAGAGAACAGAAAGAAAACAATAAGCTTACCACTTCTCCACCAGCACCTTGCAGGCTTTGGCTTGTGCAAAGAGCTGATTCACTCGATTCTCTTCTGTGTCAAAGTGCTTCCTGTAAAATGACTGTGGACATAACAGAAGTTATGAACTGGAATGATGTTTACCGTAGGTAATCTACCACTTAGAACCCCTGCTAGCAAGGGCCTGTACAAGTTGGAGATCTGGCTGTGGGATAAGAGAGCTCTCCCTTAGTTCACTGGTAACCGGATAAGGATTCTTAAATTGTAAGTTTGAACTCACTCCTGGTCAGATATTGTTGTCATTTCCATCCAGTGTCTATTCAGCTGCCTACATGAAAGAAGCCTGTCTGGCTCGTACGGGGCAGGAGCTTGCATTAGAAAAGCCATTGCTACTCTAGGCCCTCACTGGCTCGCCTTGTTGGCAACCTTGAAGAGGCCAAGCTCTCAATGGAGATGGAGGCTGAGTGCCCCTCTCACCTCTAGAAGTGGTTCTTCCAGGTCAGGGCTGAGGCACAGTGGTGGGGAAAGTGTGGAAGCTAGCACTGCTGCTGCCCTGGCTGTACCTGTTCTGTAGATAAACAGAGGGCTTCGGTCTCCAAGGCTGTCAAATAGGCTGAAACCTTTCATGAGCACTACATGAAAACTTTTTAAAAAATTTGTATTATGGAATCAAAGATGTAAAATATGTGGGATTGTATCTAGCCTCGCCTTTGGAACTGATTTGTGCCAGTTTTGGCAATAGGCAAACCTTGTTTACAGGAACTGTGGTTAGTTGTCAGTAACACAGCAGAGCTTTTATATAGCATGACACACAAGGCTTTTGAAACTGCCTGCTCTCTCCCAGTGGATAAGAATACTTACCTGATTTTTGTAGCCCTTGTCCACTCCAAGCGTCTGGGTGCAAAATTTATGCTTAACACCAAAGTGCCGCATTAGGTAGGCCAGGTCAATAGTCCAGATACTCTTTGTTAAGCGGAGTTCCTGGATGGCTTTCTGAAATTCATCGTTGTCTAAATGATTCAGGTACCTGTGGAATTAACATCGGCAGAAGGGAAGCACAGATCTTAAAAGAAGCAAAATGTGTGCTGTAGCCCAAGCCTCCACATCACAGGGTGTAAAAACTGAAACAATGGGCTTGGCCAAGAAATAACAAAAAAAAAAAAAACCCAGCCCACAAAGTAGCCTCAAATTTAGGGGAAGGGAGTAGGGACTATTTAACTGGATTTTTTGCTGACTTTTTAAAATTGGAAGCGTACGGGTATCTTGACTGTTTTATAGTGCTAGAAGTGTACACGTGGTGTACAATAGGCAAGCTATACTGAGCAAGTATAGAACTCTGTCCTGAAGGGCTTACAGTCCAAATGTACAAGCATATTAGAGCAAACACAGAAGGAAATGTCAAAGACTAAAAGTTGCTTCACGGAATAGATGGATTTCAAAAGGAGGAACTGTAAAGGAAATCAGTAAATACTCAAAGGAAGCTTGTGTTAGGCACTGATGGCACAAAAGGCAGTAAAGGGGAGATGAAGTCAGGAAGAAGCTTGGAACAGGTTGCAAAGGGGTGGGGAGAGGCAGTTACAGAGTTCTGGAAGTCAGAAAACAAATGGAAGTAAATGGGGGGGGGGGAGGTCTGAAATTGAGGATGCAGGGCAAACAAGGTCATATCAGCAGGGTGGGAAGATTAATCTTGGAAGCTGAGTTTTGGGCAGACTGGAGTGGCAGAGAGGTAAAAGGGATAAAGAGGCAGAGGTTACAGTAGTCAAGATGGGAAATTACCAGCACACGGACTAACGTCTTGGCAGAAGGGATGGAGAGAAATGAAAATCTTCTGCTTCATATCTACTAAGTGGACATCTAAATAGGTATTTCTCCTGCACCTAAGCTCATGTTCCTCTGTGGAAGGAAAGAGGAGTTCAGCTCAAAGGAAAATGGGATAATAACTAAAACAAAACAAAACAAGAACCCCCAAAGGGCAATACAGTGCATCGTTTCGAAGCTGAAACTACTCCTGGAATGCAAACACTCGTTCCTCAGATTGGGGGCTCGCAGGACAGAGGTAGTATATGCTCATCAACTGGGGTACCCGTCACTCGAAAACACAGAAAGGAATTTGGTGAATTGCTGTGCTAAGTATTGATTCTGAATTGTAACACCAGGAAGGAGGGATAGGTTTTTATTAGGTTATGCATGCTAACCTGCAAAGTCCTTAGAGCTCATTTTGCATCTGCCAAAACAGTCAGTTATTCAAAAGGGTCCTAAGTCCATCTTAGTTTATATTTTCCCTTGCTCCTGCTGGAGAGCTCTGCCAGGCCCGAGCAGCAATAATTCTCCAAGGGTACCCAAGCATATGTGATCTCGTAAGACCAAGTTAAACTCACAGCTGCTCCAACACACCTCTTCTCCCTGGCCGTGGCTTCCTGCTACCCCTCTCCCACGGGACGGGATTCCCCACCCCTTCAAACCAAGCCAGTCACTTACTGAAGCACCATCCTGGAGCAGGCCAGCCCACAGTCCCAGTGGTACAGCTGCTGAATGACTGGCACTTTCAGCTGGATGCAGTCAACTGCAGTGAAAACACCCCATTGTGAGTAAAACACCAAAGATGTCGATCTATACAGGAGTGGTTTTTTCCCATACCTTGGCATTAAAAGTCAGCTTGTCCTCAGCACTATAGTGGCGGAAACTTAGAAACATTTTTTTACTTTATCCAATTTTTTCTTAGGGGAATGTAGGTTTGGTGTTTCTGTATTTGGTATGTCTGGTATTAACTGTTTAAGAATTCGGTTTAATCTCGTACTCCTTTACTGTTCCATACCTGGATCACTCTGCCGTATGGTCCATGCTCTTTTCCTTGCAAGTTTGATTTTATTTGTTTTGGTGGGGTGACGTACCCACCAGCCCCTAACTATGAAGCTGTATCCCCTCCTAAATAATAGTAGGTAAGGCACAGGAACTCATCCTTTCTCTTGTGCCTGAATGTATTTCTGTGCCACAAAAGAAGTTAAACCAAACGGTGAGAAAACAGACACAACCGAGAGCTCTAGGCGTTGATCTCTTACAAGCCCTACAGATCTGAGCCTTTTCTACAGATGTTTTTTTCCTCAGGGACTGTAATTTATGTGAGAAATTTTAGGTTAACAAAGCCCACAAATGCACCAGTTGGCCTTTTGTATTAACCCTCTCAATAACTCAACAAAGGGAGAGGGGAAAAAGAACAATCTCTACCAAAAAGTCCCAGAATACAAGTAACTCCATCCCTCTGCCTCAGTTTTTATGTTTATAGGGTTGGCAATGTGGTGGTTTCAGAAACGCCCTTACCACTTGAGGAGTTGGGCCTGTTGCTACTTCAACGTCCATCAAAGTGAGTTAATCATAAAGGGCTTTTCTCAATAACCTTACCTTTGACCTAGAAAAGGCCTTTGAAAAGTTTTGTTAACACAAGGTCGACTACATTTTAAGATGGGAATAAAAATGCATTTGCTGTCCTGTGGACCGATCTAGTATAAAACTTTTTAGATAATGTTTGTAATCTTGTATTATCTGTAACAAAGCCACAGCCTACTGTAGGGACAAGCCAAAACAGATACTCTGGAGTCCTTCCAGATATTTTTTCATAGTTTTGCCACTGTTTAATCATGACTTTGAAGACTGGCATACCCATTGGTATATTTGATCTTTTTAATTAATCTAGATCAAGGTGCTTTTAAGCATCCTGAAGAGAAAATGAAAACAGTTCCCAGAGTCTCCTCAAACGGGGATCTGTAAGTATTTTGTCGTCGTTTTTTCTTGGCATGTTATGATTCTGTCCCCTTTTTGTTTAATACCCAGGGCCTCTGTCAAGTCCCAAGATTAACTGAAGAGGCGCATGTTTTCTACATGAAGACTTCAAAGGGTAATAACTTTCATTTTCTCGGATGCTCAGCTCGCAGTCATCCTGTTTCCCAACACACCCAGGCTTCAGCGATGACTGTCAGCTGTCCTGCGGTAAGGCACAAGCCGGTATCGGCTGTGGCTCTAACTAACACGGGAATACCTCTCCGGATCGCTGGCTCCTCGGCGCAACAGAGGTGCAGACGGAGCCAGTAATTCCACATCGCTGCTGCCGGCG